CTCTGTTTATCGACTTATCTTAATCAAAGGGTTGAAAGAGAAATTCTTTACCGAACGAAGACTTTGAGAAGTGGTGAAAAAAATATCGGAGAGAGATGGGCGGATCTCGGATCTGGCTGGCAGCGCTAACCCTGGCTTTCTTCGCTGCTGCTTCCGTCGCCGATGATGACGTTGTCGTTCTAACGGAGGTCAACTTCGAGACCGAGGTGGGCAAGGATCGCGGCGCCCTCGTGGAGTTCTACGCTCCATGGTTCGTTCTTTTTTATCTTCTCCTACGCATCGATTACATAGTTTGTGCCTCTGTGTTTATGGGCTGACGTAACTTGTATTCGATCTGGTAGATACTAGGATGTTTGCCGGCAGTTTAATTTAGTTCTTTACTGATGATGCTGGATTTATCATTGGCATGAGAGAGTTCTTATGACATGGATCTGTCAGTATTTAGGGGAGCCTCAATAATTTTTTTTGGTGGCGTTGGAGAAACTTAACCATTTAGGATTCCGCATGCGTTAATCTTGAATTGAGCTTGGCTAAGTAATTAATATATAATTATGGCAGCTTGATGAAAGCTTTCTGACTAATTTCAAATAATTTATTGTATACTTGGGTGGTAACCTGTTTTCTTTTCCACTGTGGTTATTGTAGTTTGGATTTGTGCTGTGAGCAATCCGATGTTATATTTAGTTGATCTGTTCTCTGCTTAAGATCCGCTTGATGTTTCATGGCTCTATCTTGACCTGATTTATTCTTAGTTATAGGGTGGCTTGATCTAATCTCAATTGAGCAAGACCAGTCTTTTTTTAATCTTGCTTATTCGAGCAAAACCAGACTTCTTAATATTTTTATCATAGCCAAAATTAGTTTCTTTTTTTTAGTGATTTTTTTTCTTAAAAGTGAAATTCTTGGCTCTAGGTTGGATTGCATTTGATATGTGAAGGGTTTGAAATGAGGGTACTAACATTTGTTAGAAAGGATACTGGAAGCAAAATTTCTTCTTGTAAGATGACTAATGGGGCAGTTAAGTATGATAAGATCAAATATCTTACAAGAATTTGCACTGGAATAACATATTGACAGTGTGTACTTGATTTTTGTGTTTTGGAATATCAACAACATCATTATGAAGAAATAGTTGCTTCTTTTTCATCTGATATGTTGTAGTTGTACTGCAATTTTTTCTTTGGACGGTGGATTTTTAAACCTAAATACAAAAGTATGTCTTCTATTTTTGTGTGTTATGATATTCTTAAAGTAATGCCAATTGCTCGCTCCTTGTATTCGTAGCTAACGCTTGAAGCTCATTGTAATATGTAGATATGGCACAGGAAAATTCTTGGATTTCTTTCTTCAATTTTCTCCTGCTGATTATTTACTTTTCACATAATCATTGCAATGTTTTGCAGGTGTGGGCACTGTAAGAAGCTTGCTCCTGAGTATGAGAAACTTGGTTCTAGTTTTAAAAAAGCTAAATCTGTGTTGATTGCAAAGGTTGGTATTGTTTTTTACTATCACAAATGACATACATTTTCTTATTGTAACAAAAAACTTCTAGCAAGGATATGAATCTCTAACATGTTCCTTTTTCTTATTAGGTATCTAAATGCCTGTCAATTATTCTAACTTTATTTGATTTTGATGTCTTTAGTGTAAATTCTATGATACTGATCTTTTTTGAGAGTAGATGCTCTTCTGCCAGCATTTCATTTTCTTAGTCCCTAGATAGAAAGTTGTTGATATTGATCCTGATTGATTAGTTATTTTGACTACTTTTTATGTTCTGGTCAATCAAGGTTGACTGTGACGACCAGAAAAGCTTGTGCAGCAAATATGGAGTTCAAGGTTACCCAACCCTTCAATGGTTTCCCAAAGGCTCTTTGGAGCCCAAAAAGTCAGTGTTATGCCATGTGTTTTGTTTACATATCTACTACTTTCATATTTCAACTTAGATAAATTTTTGAATCCTTTCCTTATCATATCCGTCTTGTTGTTTTTGGAAGTTTCAAAACTAGCATCATTTTTTGTATTTGAAGGTATGAAGGTCCAAGGACAGCAGAAGCTCTTGTTGAATTTGTTAACAATGAAGGAGGTACACAATTTTGTAACATTGAATTTAGAAAGTGGTTTTGAGAATATAACATTTTAGTAATTTTAAGGATTTTGCATTTTATCTTTTCTCAATGAAAATATATGAAA